AAGTAAAAGGAAGAAGTTAAATTAGTACAAATGAGCAATAAAAACTGCTGGAGGTCTTTGTTGAAAACACAGCTTGCTTTCCAAATCCTTACTTTTCACCTACTTATTACTCAATTCACTCAATTACATCTATTAGACAAAGCACAATCACCCTTGCAACAATTCCATAAACAGTGGTGGCAGATGCATTGAGCCTTAATGGACAGGATAAACTTGGCACACTAATATAAAACTCTTAAAAGAAAGATTTTACATAAGCTGACTTTGATTCTTTTATAAAATTGTTAAAAGAACTGTCAGTGAGGACATAACTGATCCTTAGGCAATGCTCCTTTAGGAGTAAAACCCACCTAACTGGAGCAGAAATGACAACCTGAGCCCTTGTGCACCTATTTTTGGCTTTGATTTTAAAGACCAAGGACACAAACCCTGATTTTAGTGACTCTTTTAGATTTGGAAATTTTGGTGGGAGCATCCCAGGGTATTCTAGGGAATCCTGCATACTTACTGCTACGAAAATTGGACACGGACCTGAAGAAACGGAACACTTTCAGTAAGACAGGAAATCTTACTGCACTGAGTGTCCCGTGTCTGATACTTCATGAAGTTTTCTTCATTATCTCATTTCTCTGCAATATTATTATTCATTGAAGTGTTATGTATTTCAACACAGAGACAAGAAGCTCTCCATGTAGGTACCTAAGGAGTGCACACACAGACTTGACAGGTACATTAGGCTGACAGGTTGTCAGAAGCTGTAGGGATCAGCAAACAGAAGAAATACAATAAAATATACAAGGAACAGGGGGAACACTCTTACTCAGTCTAGGTAAACATAAGATTTGGACTCAGCATTTATAAACACCAGGAAGATACATGATGTCTTGCTGTCCATGATATTGCTGGTGTCAGGGTTTTGGTAGGCATTTTTGTAGAGGGAAAAGCATGCAGAAGCATGACAGTAGACATGATCAGTATTTATGGAATCTTCTTTTGTCTCTGTTGAGGCTGACCACCTCACTGAGCAGACAAAATGCTTGAGATATTTTTTTCCCCTCTCTGTGTACAGTGCCTAAAGTAACAAAACGTTTTATATGCCACTACTGTGTAATCTGTGGTTATTGCTACTAGTAGCAAAATATGATAATCAGAAAATACACAGAAATGTTCCACATTAGTATATATTGCAAGAGGGGAAAGCAAGAAATGGTTAGAGGTAAGAAACTAAATAAATCAATTTCTAGTGATTTTTTCCATTAAAATAATGACAAATTATAAATCCACAAAATTATCAATATTATGGCTATGTTACGAGAAACAAAGACAGATAATGAAGAACATCAATAGCTATCCTATTCTGTTCCTACACACTTATTTTGGAAATAGAACATCTACCCAGGGCTACCACTGGGAATCAAAGAAGCTCTTCAGGTACAATAAAACTCAGCGATTTTGTCCTAACCCCAAATCAAGTCCCAGGGTAACTTTCGCAGAGCAGGATAATATTTCTCAACCTATTATTTTTCATTCCGCCTAAATTTCTGGATAAGACTAAAATACCCTGATGAAAGCTGTACTTGTATATTTCCAGCTCAGCTGGAAATAGAGTATCACAGGGAAAGTGTGCTATTGTCGAATTTTCAGTCCAATGTCATGAAGTTCAGGTAAGAAGGATAAGCATCGAAACGACTGTGTTTACTGACACTGTATTGAACAACCTGCCAGTGTCAATCATGATTCAGTTTAGTCAGACATCCTAATCTAATTATAAAAAAAAGTAATTTGATTAATTTTACTGCTTGTTATAGATGAATAATGCAGAAATTATGCCCATATATTGCCCTATGACATTGACTGGAATGAGACATTTATTTTTTTAAGTACCTATATACAGTAAGAGACTATAGCTATGGCAACGTGTGTGCAAACCATACCAAAAAAAAAAAGATACAGAAAAGATATATCAGTTCCCTTGTAGCGGAGAAGCACAAGTAACATTGCAACCTATCTCCTGCAATAAAGAAAAAAATCCACCTTTCTTTTTAATTCAAGTTCTAGGACAGAAAACACAGTATAGATCCAGAGAGCTGTGAATTAGGACGAACACAAGCCTAAAAATGATGCCTAAAACTTCAGCAAATTTGTCAAGTACTTTGATTGAGGTTGAGAATATGAGTCCAAATGGGTATACAGGAAGCAATCATTTTTTCGTGAAGAATACGTCCTTTACTGTGCACACAAATTCTTCCTTCAGAAGGCTGTAAATTACAGTATTTATGGAATCTTAATGATCTAAACACAGTTGGAGCCTGAAGGTCAAGGCTGCAAACTGCATCCTAAATTTCTGTTTACAGATGAAGCACAGTATTTATTGCTGTACTGCTTGTGCTGCTATAGTTAAAGGGCTGCCAGCATTTCCATTATAAACCACTATTTCAGGGGTTTATAACTTGCCTATCAATCTTCTGACTGGGATGAAACATGGCATACAAGGTCCTGGCTGTGAGACTCATTTTTTTGTTTGTTTTCTTTACCAAATTACAAAAAGAATAAGCTTAAAGTTATAGAAGCAAAAGAAAAAAAAGTATATCAGGTTTTTTAAGTACTTCTGGTGTTCCTGCAATACAATTATAGCTTCAGAACACAAAATATACTCATATAACTCCATCAATTAATAGAAAGACTTTCGATCCCCAAAAAGTGAAAGATAATCCAAATAAAGACATATGTTTAGATGGTTTTTCCCCCCTTTAATTAAGAAATTGTACTGCAGATTTTTAATGGCAAGAAAGGAAATCAGAAACCTAACATTGTCCTTGACTTTTTTATCTGTGTAGATTTTCCATTAAAGGTAACAATTACACACCTTGGCACAGTATAAAGAGTGTATTCTTTTTAAATGAGTATCTAAATGATGATATACAAGGTGTCCTTTACTGTTTTATATTCCAGATGATATTTGGTAAAATTATTCAGAGTTAGGTCAATGTCAATGTTTTCTCCCAAACTTTGAAGCAACCTTATTGTCTACTGTTAAATCTTGTATCAAATGTAATTAAATTAGGAGGGGAAGAAATACAAAACTTTTACTTCCACACTGCCAACTGTGAAAGTACTTCTGCTCTGCACTGAAGTACTGTGAAGAGCAGGTGATAAATTTAAGTCACATTATACCTGCATATCTAGCAAATACATTTTGATAAATAACAAACTTAATACTGCAAACAGTGCAAGAATTGAAATATTAGAAGACCTCAAAACCCCTCTTATTGGAATCCTAAGTTTTGGCATAATTTATTTTTACAAGTAAAGAACTGGGCCAGATCCAACAATGTGCCCTTGCAATGCAACACAGACACATTACATTATAGTAAGCAGTTTTATGGCTCCTTTGCAACACCATACCAGTTCAGACAAGACAGACAGCAGTGCTAAACCTGGAATATGAGACTTTATTTAATGATATTTTGTTTTATTTCTTTATGTTATAAATCCGGTCACAGCAGGAAGGAAGTAAATTAGCCCCTCCACAAATGTAATTATTATATTTTCTTTATTATAGTTGCAGGGTTTTTTCTTTAATTTGCTGACATTGCTGAGTTCCCCACAATTACCTTTCTTATTTTTTCCCTTTGCTTTTGTTAAAAGATTACTGCACTTGTTTTATGCCATTCCTAATGCTTGGAAGAATCTCTTCCTCCTGTTGCTGTACTTTTTGCTTTCCTTCCCAAGTCTACTTCTACCATGTGTCTGTTTTATGTCTGCTTGACACAATCACTTGCATTGAGATTTTTGATAATTTTTCCCATCAACTGAAACAAAGAACTGTTCTGTTACTTCAGTTAGTTCTCGTTGCAAGTGCATTTATATGCCAAAATAACACAGATACCTCATTCACTTTTATGTCTTGACTTTGGTCTATCTCCTGTGTTGCCTTCCAAGCTCTGTTTTTTGAGCATGCAAACCAATTTTCCCTAAAGTAAAACCTGAATATGGCTCTAGGGACAATTTTACCTGGGAATGCCCCCTAACGAGCAGTGTGGATGAGCCATTGGGTATCTTCAGCTGCAGAGTCCTTCAAAATTATCCCAGCAGGCCACACTGCCTCCTGTGTAGCCCAGGGCACTCAGAACATGCCCTTGGGGTCAAGCCATGAAACTCCACACTGATGGGCTGCAGCACTCAGACAGTTTGTACTGACGCACACGGACACACATCATGACTTCTCCTGAGGAGCCAGAGCACCAGGCATTGCTCAGGGCATGCTTGGCCAACTCTTGTTTTTCAAACTTTTTTTAAGCTACTGATTGCTGTTTGTTTTTGGTTTTTTTTTCTTTGTAGAGGAATCGATGGTGAGAGATACAGAACTGATGACTTTCTTCTTAGACAGTAAAAGATGGAATGACTATGATGTCTTAAAATCAACCTGGGTAGTGCAGCTGAACCTCTATCAGAGATTAACTCCAACCAGAGACAAGATGTTATGAATAGTGACTGACTAAGGCCTCCTCATTCACTGCATGGTACTGCCTTTGACTGGTTGAAATGCATCCAAGAACGCTGCTATATAATTAAATATGTTAAATAATGCTACAGAGTATCTTGTATAATTTCGGATCTTCAATGAACTGTAAAAAGTTTTAAATAAAATATAGGTGGAGCTTGTCAAGCAGTATTAGACTTCAAAATATTTTCTTCTTCTGGAAGCTTACTGTACCATCTAACACACGTATCTGTCATGCTGCCTGGGTTGCCATCACACAGTACATCTTGTTAGCAAAGATGTCATGACAGAAATGCTACAGTGCTGCATTCTAATGACCCCTTGTATTGTAATGAATTAATGTTTTCTGCAGAGAGGATGTGATAGGAAAAAATAGCTTTAATCTCAGATACTCACTGAGGTTTGGGTTTTTTTTTTTAATAGTATGACAGTTTTGCAAACCAAGCAACATTGAAAACCATTTTAGCTCAAGTAAAGAACATGTGGCACACCCCACCTGTAAAGTCCTGGAGGAGCTCGATGAACCAGGAAGCTTTTCTCCAAGCTTTGTAGCACATCATTGAGCATCCTGACTCTGACAGGCGCTCGTTCCTTGGGGTCGTTGGCCGGGCGCATCTCGTCCGACTGGAACAGCTCGGCCGTGTCCCTCAGACGTGAGGCCACTGCAAGCAACTGAGGAACGCCTACTTCATCACCTAGGAACAGCAAGAGCAAGACAGTTGCCAGTGATTCAGAGAACAACACTTATTACTCTTGCTTATAAGCCAAAATGAATAGTCCAATTAAAACCTGAGCCTCTTTTCCCTTGAGGGGTTTGTGATAGATCAAGAAAAGCCATAGATTATTCTGTATAACCTCTGATCCTTTTTTCAAAGATCAATTTGGGCTCTGATGTTTTAAGATCTAATAAGCTGTGAGGAATGATTTTGGGGTACAGATTGAAGTCTACCATTGGAAAAACAGGCCTGCAGGAAGCAACGGTTATAAATCAGGAACTATATCATTTCCTTCCAAGACAGCATTTACTCAATGCCATTTGATGTTACTGCTCTCAAGTTTGAAAGCCTGTGCTTGGATTCCATAATGACTGCTGTATAGAAAATTGTAATATGCAGTTTAATTGAATTTGATTGAATGTTTTAGAATCCTAGAGGTTAACAACAGTTGTAGAGGGGATTGAAATTGTTCCTCTTAATCACTTAAATTATATGCCAATGAGCAAAGTTTAATTGATATCCAAATGTATATTCCAATCCAGTCAGTATTTTCAAAACTTTTAAAATATGGAGTGTTAACTATTGCTTTGTTAGCAATCCTACACAGACACCAAAAGAATAAAAGCTTGCAGCCCTTCAGAGCACACCTTGATATTAATATTTCCCTGGTCATAGTCCAGATAGAGGAATGGGAAATGTGAACTGGAACACTGTGAATGTGTAGTCTATTCCCACCTGCAGTGTAGGTGGAGAGCATGGCCTCCTTTCCCAGTGTGTGCATAGACTGCTTTCATTTTTACAAGCACATGGAGAGAAAAAGCAGAGTCTGAACCTGAGATAAAGTCAAAAGTAATATCAGTCACCATAAACATTTCCAGGATCAGAAATTATCTTAAGGCCAGAATTCACTTTGCCTATTGACAAGAAAATCAACTATCCTTAAATCTTTCAAATGATATTTTCATCAACATAAATAATGCAGCTTTAGAAGCTGAATGTAAAAATGTCAGTGAGTTCATTATCTTAGCGACTGAGATGATTAAGACAAGAAAGTGGTTCAAGACACAAGTTAAATGAATGTTAAACTTCCCTGTCTAATAGATACATGGAGAAATCAAAAATAGTAATTGGAGAACACTGACATGGTTTAAACTCAGTAAGTGCCATGAAGCTGCTTACTCACACCCTCCCGCTTCCCTGATGTAATCGGGAGAATAATCCAAAAAACAGAAAGGTAAAATGCATGGGTTGAGATTAGAACAGTTTAAAAACAAACAAACAAACAAACACAACAACAACAATAATAATACAGCATTGAAAAGGGAGAAAGAGAGAGAGGAATAAAACTCAAGACAGGTACGTGATGCACAGTACAATTGCTCATTGAGCATGTTCAGCAGGGCCCACAGGAGCAATCAGCCCCCTGGTCAACTCCCTGCAGTTTATAGATTGGGCATGATGTTCTATGGTATGGAATATCTCTTTGGACAGTTTGGGTCAGCTGTCCTGGCCATGTTCCCTCCAAGCTTCCTGTAAACCTCCTTAATGGCAGATCACAGAAAGTGGAACGTCCTCAGGGTAAGCACTGCTAAGGAACAATTAAAACATCCACAAGTTATCAACCTTAATCTCATACTAAATCCAAAACACGGCACTGTACTAGCTACTAGGAAGAAAGTTAACTCTACCCTTGTCAAAATCAGGAGAAACATCAACCCATTTCTCAAATTATTTATGGATGGAGTCTGAAAGGTGAGCACATATTAGGAATGGAAAAGCAAACAGGTATAATGAAGAAATCAAGGAAATGCCTGAATATAATATACTGTCCCTCTCAGATGGAAAAAGAGGTTTGCTAGTGGATAAATTCCAGTAAAGGAAAAGGAGTTCACGGATCCCCATGTACTCCTGCCATTCAGCTAACACATTCCAATCTAGCAAAACATGAAATGATCCAAAATACAGGGAGAGACAGATGCTGGCATGAGAGAAACTGTCAGATTTCCTGAGCTATCAAGACGAATTTCAACAATGAACAGGAACTCCTTGTGCGAACAGGAGTGAGAGAAGATGGTTTATGTCTGCCCTGGTTTGAGACAAGGTTCTTTTGTTAATGGCACTTGACCAAGACACCTTTCCCTAATTAGAATGGATAATAGGCACTGTGGTACCTTGATGGATAGGATTGGTATCTTTCTGATTGAGTCTGGAGTAATTTAAATTCTGATCAAGTTAGGTTGATGCCTCAGAAAAATATTCTCCAAGTATATAAACTTGGTACATTTGCGATATTTTGCAAAATATCATTATCCTTAATTTTCAAATCTCTGGCAAACATCCTGCGCAGCTGAAGAACTTGCCATTCTCATGTATGTAATGTAGGCACTGTGCATACCTTACTCTGAGACTTCTGTCCATACGGAAATATTTAAATTCACCCTGTTAGAAAGGATCCTTTGGTTTCAGCAAAGCACTTTGAATTCCAAGTAACAGAAAACATTTATAATTTTTAAGCAATTGCAAATGTCAGCTTTTCCTTTTCAATAGGGCAGGTGAGATAAAGGGAAAATCCATCATTCCATATTTGGAAATGAAGCCAACCAGACCACCCTTTTAAACAGAAAAATCTTGTACATGCTCCCACTCATTCTCCACAGCATTTTGTTTACAGTCACGAGTAAGAAGCACTGTTTACCACACACTCTAAACCAGCACTCAGAAAACACACACCCGGGTCCCTCTTTAATACTTCAGTACAAAACCTGCAAGTGTCTATGGCCAGTGTTACCCCAGCAAACTAAGGACAACAACTCACTGAACTTCACTGCCAAGGGAAGCTGTGATTTATACTTGTTCCAAGTTGAGAAGCTGGGAGTTAGAAGGGCAAATGATCCTTCAAGAGAAGGATGCATTAACTAAAGGTGGCTTAAACATCTTGTGATGCTTTTACAGAGAAAATCAAGCACAAGTATTACTTCACTCAAGAGAAAACAATGCCACGTTATTATATTTTGTATTCTTTGTCCTTTTGTCTTCAGTATGATTCATGATGAATCATCTAAGATAGCTATTTAGTTGCTATAAAAATAAAATTGCAAGTACAAGAAAGTGACTCAAGAGCATATGTACTCTTGATCAGAGAATTACACTGTTGAATTTCATTACACTTGCTAAATGTAACTGGATTCTATCCAGAAACAGGTTACACCAAACAGATATTTATTTTTACAGACATTGAATACAACAGCCTTTCCCCATGTAACTGACTGCTCTTACGAAAAGCACTGCTAAATAGTTAACATTTTTAAATTGTGCTTGTGCCCTCTGTTATGAATGTACTTGCCTACAAGTACCTACAGGAGAGTGAGCACAGACAAATCAGCAGTTATGCTTAAGTTATGCTTGCTCACCATGCATGTGAACATGTGTTTGCATGTAAGAGAGAAGGGAAATTGCTTCAGGTTTTGATTAGCTTGCAAATTCAGGATCAGCTATGGTGTGCTGCTGTATTCACTAGGCAGATTTTTCATGCTGTGCAAAAATAGGATGATCAGACCAGGCAGTAGAAAATCTGAATGGGAAAGCTTTGTAGAAAGCATCCTAAAGGGGCAGAAACACAAATCCACAGACATCTTCAGTGCAAAGAATATGTTGCCATCAGCTTCAATTTTGCTACCATGACTGCTATTGCCCAAGCAAACTAATCTGGTGTTGCCACAAGAAGACTCTGTTCAAAGAGGCTACCACTAAAGAGGCATGTTGTGACATATCACTACATGCATGTCAGTACAGAAGGAGCCTGGGGAAGAGCAGGCTCCAGGGAGACTTTATTGTGCTCTTTCAATACTTAAAGGGGGCTTTGTAAGAAAGATGGGAACAAACTTTTTTATTAGGGGCTGTTGCAATAGGACAAGGGGTAATGGTTTTAAAATAAAGATTAGATTTAGACTAGGTGTAAGGAAGAAATTTTTTTCAATGAGATTGTGAAACGCTAGCACAGGCTTCCTGAAGAGGTGGTGGATTCCCCATCCATGGAAACATTCAAGGCCAGGTTGGATGGGGTTCTGAGCAACCTGGTCTAATAGAAGATGTCCCTGCTCATTGCAGGGGGGTTGGATTAGATGGTCTTTAAAAGGTCCTTTCCAACACAAACTATTCCATGATTTCATTAAGCTATCCATGACTTTGTACAGAGCTGATGAACTTACATGGCCTACAGATACAGATTAGCTGCTCATCTTTCCCTTCAGTACCAAATGTTTTGTCCACGGAAAATGCATTGTTTTTAAAGGCTGATGAAAGGTACTAATATATACTAACCTTGAAAGGATACTGAAGACAAGATGTCAGTGTCTCATGGCAAAGGAGGTATTTCTGTCATACATACAAATAATCAAGTGTTGCATTTTTCCCCTCTGTAGCAGTCAAGAATAATGGGTGGAAACAGTAAAAAGGGAAACTTTCTGAACATGACAGACGGGTGGAGAAATTAACTCTGAAAAGCAACCAAAATGATCAGGGAAATACAGTCAAGCAGACAAAATGACGCCATGCTGAAGACTAGCAGATAGCTGTAGGCAACGAGCATGCAGCCATCAAGTAAATTAGAGAGATATGTTTTTGTATTGATTTTTCTAAGGACAAAGAGTTTAGCCTGATGTTTTGAAATGTATGGGTTGAATCGAGGCTGTGGAAAGTCATGCAGACCTTACTGGAAATGGCTTATCATAAAACAGATTATTTTTAAACTTCTGCTAGGACTGCCTTCTATTGTCACTTCAAGTACTTCAGCTGCTGTAACATCTGTACAACATCCATTCTGGGCAGAAGAAAGGACCTAACTGATAGAAAGCCACACACAATTGACACTGCATCAGCCAAAGAGCTTTAAACCAGAGCTACTGCACTTCCCATACAGGAAAAACCAGAAAACCTCATCCACACAACTTGCCTCCACAAGCCTCTCTCTGTCTCAGCCAGTGCCTATCAGAGATGGCTACAATTTGCTCACCAGCTTCATCAGCCTGTGCTGACAGACACAGGTGGGGAATCTCACCTCGCCTGCCTAGTGCTGCACAGCCACGGGGCTGCAGCACAGACACCAATTTTTGGAAGGTCTGCAAGAGTCTAGGTGTGCCCAAGTGACTGGGAATAATAAATGACATCAGCTTCTACAACACCCAAGCAAGCGACATGGTCAGCATCAAATTGGCTGCCTTTATTTTTATAAACTGTGTGATTGAACTTCTTATTGCTGAGATAGTCAGGTGCAAAGGTAGAGAAAAGCTTTTAATCCTAATGAGACACCTGAGCACCTCCATCATCAATCCCTGAAACTTCCTGCAACATACACTAAATTTTAGAGAGTATCAAATCTTGTACTTGATTCAACTTGCAGTGAGTCTTAATTTTAAACGCATAGAAGGCACAAGTTCCACACAACTGCAAGGTGTAGTTAATGAGAATATTTGAAGCTGTCACCTATTCATGAATTTTTCTAAAATATTACATCTGTGATCAGACAGATGACAGCCTGACTAGCCCTGGGGACCTGGATTTCAGTCTTGGAATCCATCTCCTATCATTTATGACCATGAAGTTTCCTGTTACACATCAGACCATCAGCAGATGCACAAAATGAAATGTCTCTCCAGTCACAACCCTTCCTTTCAGATAAACCCAAAAGCAGTAGCTTGTTTCCAAGAGTTCTGGTGTGTGCAAATGGAGATAACACATGTCACTTAACAACCTTTTTCCCATCTTTCTGAGGTACAGGCCATGAGCCAGATATGAACATGTTGTGGATGACATAACTTGCTATCCAGACTATCCTGGATGTAAGAAATAGTTTGTAAAGTGCTGAGTAATATCCCATGGAATATAACAGAGATACTAGTACAGACATCCACCACAGTACAGAGTTAAATCCTTCACAAACATAAATAAATGCGCTATTAGCAAATACAAAGGTATACACAACCTTTTTTGAGTGCATCCAGGAGACTGCAAAACAGTGACTCAAGTATTTATACATATGATTTAACTTTAAGCATGTGAGAAAGTCCAATGGATAATAAAATGGGTGTTTAAGGGACTGGCTGAACCAAATCCCAGAGGCACAAAATTAAGCCTAATGAGCAAATCTAGTATGTCATGCAGATTTACCTTCACCTTTTCTACATTTACACTTTGCATTGATTTGGGAAAGGAAACAGTTTACTAAGACAATGCCACTTTCAACTGGAAATTTCACACAACATAAAATCTTTTGAAGAATGAAGAAACCCATGAGCCATGTTAAAAAGTACAAGTTCTCATTCAAGTAACCAGAAAAAAGACTATTGTATTAATGTTTTCCAAAATGATAATAAACTGTTATTCGACACAAGTTGGAGATAGGTAAGACATGAAAGTCATAAGAAAAATCATTAAGCAAAACTCCAAAGTGAACAGCTGGGAGAAGATTTATCCTCCTGGCCCTACAGCCAAGGAAATAATCTCCCCTCTCCTGAAGTGGTAGAGATAAATGATCTAACTGAAGTTAGAGGAAAAAATGTCAGTTTAAATCAACATTTCCTGTTACTCAAAATAAAGCAAAAAGGAAGAACAATAGCAGACATCTCATGTTCAGTTGAAGGAATACCAGCTGAGCCACAGTTTTCATTTGATGATCATTCCCTGCTGTGTTTAAGCTGAACTAAACCAATGTTTATGTGGCTCAACAGAGCTAAAATTACTTGTCTTTTTAGATGCTCACTGATTCCAGACCAATACTTGCCTACTGACTCCTAGGTCTTGACAATGATGGATGGCAAAGATTAAAGAAAAGGTATCATACTTCTATGACTGTGTATTACAGAAAAGTGGTGCTTTATAGTGTAGGGAGTGAATGAAATGCAGGGGCAGCACCTCAAGATTGCAAAAAGTCTTTATGTTTGAGATACAATCTCACATTCTGCTACAGTATATGTATAGTTTGAGTGTGATTTTGTAGAACTTACATCTTTATTTAACAGGTCAACTTAGGATTTCCATAAACATATAAATAAAAATATTTTTGAAAGGTCTTAGGATACTACAGGTAATCTGTATCAGAGACATAATTGGAAACCAGGAAAAAACAACATGGTTTTACCTATCTCACATTTTCCCACTGTGAGGTCCTAACAAGACAATGCTTTGGAGCAGTCTTTTAAATTTCATGTGGATTCCTGTCAGGGATGTACTTTTCACAATTTAAGTTCAGTGAATTCTGACCAGAAAACCAGCTTCTAAAATAACTCATTTTGTACACATTCAAGGAATGTGCTAGAGTTTGGCAGCTAAATTATCAAAAGATTTATTCTTCAAGGACTAAGTTTCTTATGTGCTCTCCACAACCAGCATATTTATTTAGAAAAGGAAAGAGAGTTGATCTCATTTGAATACACTAGAATACGAGGAATCTGCGAGGGAAAAGGAGGAAGACAGATGATACTGAATGAGAAAGTTTATATGGGTGAGTGAGACTAGACAGCATTAAAAACTAGACTTTCTCTCCCTCCTTAGACTTCAGGACTGGAGCTAAGGAATATTCTTTTCATAATTGATAAGAAGGCAGCATATTGCTCCTTTGTAGTCTAGACACTAGCAGAGAATATCTCAGTAACATAATATGGGTTTAGTTCCCTATAACATATTAACATTTTTCTACTACCTGTAGAGAGGGGAAAAGCAAAATAACAAACAAATAGCAGCCCCCATAAGCAAAGGGAATGCACAACTGCCCCCTGTAACTGGGTTACCTTAAACAGCTCTGGTCAAGGGCTACTCGTTTGATTGGGTTCTGTTGTCAACACAGGATAAAGAGACTGTAGAATGCCTGTTCTTTAATCAAGAAGGCAACACAGGAATATTTGTAATGGCACCCCAATCTCGATGCAGTGGTCTCATATCAAGGCATTCATCCTATATCTAGCAAATAGTGCCAAACCCAGAGTCTACAAGAATTATCTCTGCACAATTTCCTAGTTACCAATGACTCCTCTATACTTTCTGACTAGGAACTTTCTCGTCCGTCTCCCTAATCCCAACCCATTGTCCCAAACATGCTGATGTCAAATATGGAGTTTGCAGGCTTAGTCAGTTCCAACAATATGTATTGGTAAATTATCTTGCTTTGTCACACCTGAAAAAAGAGAGAAGTTAGCATGTTCTGCAACAAGGTGAGTTAGTGGAATAAACAAGCAAGGAGGATGACTGTGAAAATTAAGGAACCAAATGATAATGGGATTAGAAGCCCTCTCTTGCTTGTACCGAAAGCCTTGAAAGGAATTAAAATCAAGCTCAGTCACAAAGTTTGTTATTGTTGGCTGTAATTAGGACATTTTAATACTAATTATTGCTTAATTGAAAAAGTAACATCAGAGGAAATATAAATATTTTACAGATTTATTTAGCAACAAAACCTGCATTTTATTTAACACTATATAATGACACTGTTTAAGTAGTAAAATCACTGGCTATCATTGAAGTGAAAATTGAAAATCCGTATTAGGGATTAGATGATTCTTTTTTTCTCTTGAATTAATGGAGAATAATACTTGTCTAAAGAAAATTACCTTTGAGACTGTTCTGAACTTCTAACGCGATGTCGAGGGCATTAAACGGCAAAACTGGTTCATTGGCAATTTTCAAAGTCACTTGTCCTGTTAGCTGAAAAATACAGAAAACCCAAACGAGTCAAATTATTTCTACCAGATTTAATAGCCAGCACTTCTTTTGGCATAGCACATACTTGCATTACCTTGGATTTTTAGAGAAAAATTAATAAATGCCCATTAACACATCTTTGTGAATAGGAATGTAACCAGGACCATTTCCTGTCTAACACAGCATTACAAAATGTCCATAGATTACAATTTATGACCACACACAAGAATTCTGTGCAATATGTCTTCTGTGGACCCAGGATGTTGCAGGAGTCTCTGAAGGGCCTTAGTTTTCCTTTGTTTTCAAATAAAATGTCTCAATACTCTAAACATAGGAATGAGGTTTATTGTTTTACTTAGTTCTCTGGTTTTAGCTATTGGATTTTGAGAGTTTACACAACTAAAATAAAATAAATGATCACAGGCATTAAGGATTTGGAGATCAAGCCCAGGGTTAAATGCAAGCTGACCTGAAAACCCACTGCCTTTTGAAGTGTTATGTGACAACTCAATGCACACAGATGTACAGCTTCCAAACTGGAGAGAACACTACACTGTGTAGTGAGTTACAGTAAATTACAGGAAGGCATTCCCAAATGAATGAAAGAGAACTCTCAGTCCATTCCAGACTAGATGTCAGCACCTGTCACAAAGCTCAATGGCATAAATGCTTCTTTTTCAACAGTTCCACAGATGAGGCCAGGGACTGACTGGCCTGAGAGCTTTTTTCCACTTATTAGAAGGTTGACTCTCCAGCTTGAGGCTTAGACATGCTACAGGGGCTGTGTATAGAAATACATCTTTCTGCTGAACTATACCCAGCCTGTGATTAAACAGAGGATTTCAGTCTCTAGGCTGCCAAGTCCATGACTGTTCACGGGAGTTGTAAAAACACACTGACAAAAACATGCAAGAAACTTTTATTCATCTTCTTCATATCTTGATATTGCAAAAAGGGAAAAAATACCCGTAAGGCTGTGCTTTAAATGGAATGATGGCTGCAGGTGATGGTGACCGTGTTGATAAAAATGTGGACTGAATAGAATCGTATGGCACAATACTTCCCAAGGTGTTGGGGGAGCAAGAATAATATCTATCCTTCAAAAGCAATATGATAGTTTCTGTGTCAAAAGTAGCATTTTAATTCTACAATAGAAAGCAGCAGGAAAAGCAACAAGCCTTAGTAATATTAAAAACAATAGTACAGCAATTGAAAAGGAAAACCATCTCCCAGGAAAGCGGATGAAAGCAGGGTAATATCAGAAAAACAAGTTTCCTGGAGAAAGATTAATAGAACCCCACAACATTTCTCAGAAAGTATTAAAGAAATGACCTGGCCACAGACTAGTTTGGGTATGGAGACTGAAGGAACATGCTGTGTATCAGGCTGCAACCTCCATCTCAGCAAAGACATACTGTGAAGCTATTGAGATTTACCCCCAGAGAATACAATACTGAAAAAGGCATGAAGAAAAAAACCCCTACCATATATACAGTGAGAAAAAAACAGGGAGGAATAATGTTATGTCAGGCCATTATCAGGAAGAACAAAGAACTAAGAGTGAACTTAAAGAAGAAAAATACTGTGTTTGGACGTCTGTGTTAAAATACTACACATTAACCTCTCATGAAACCTTTCTCCAAACTTCCCAACTGCACAGGCCAACAGTGCTTGAAGGCCATTACATTTTCTAACAGTGATTATACCTGAAAGTGTCTGGGTTGGAAAGCATTAGAAAACATTGGTCTTCCAAATATCAAAGAGGTATTACGGAAATACAAAAAAATAAAACCGTGAGGGCAAACAGAAACCTGTACCAAACTGTATCCAAACCAGGTCCATATAACCCAGCCATGAGCAACTGTAAAAAATCTGTTTTAAATGTCCAAATGCCACACAAAATCCTTCCTTGTCCTGCACGGAACTCTTTCAAGATAGAGTTGCCCAGAACATTCACACTCTGAATGTTGCTGTGGATAAGTAATGTTATGAAATAACATCCTAATAAAAAGTATGTATTCTACATGGAGCCCAAAGCCATTGAACCCTAAATAGCACTGTATCACACAAACCACTCAAATTCTTCCTTGACACCCCATTTCCGCAAAAACTTGGTAATGCAAATACATATCCATAGATGCATTTTAGGGAGGGACATCAACAGTTACACATTTCTCCTGATACTTTACAATCTGTTACCGCAATGTTTAAAAACACAGAAGTATGGAAAAAAAATGCTTCTTTTCTAAAGCAGGAAAGTGGCATTAAAGAGGACAATACCCTAATAAGTATCTTTCTTTTCACCATTATCTCCTACAGAGTCTGGCTTTATATTTGTAAGTTCTTGTCTTATTTCTATTTCTTCCAAGACATTTTAGTTTGCTTTCAACTATGTAAGACCAAAGCTTTTTTCTCTTTCCTATTCAAATAATGTTGTACCATCAAGATCTTATGACTGACTGAAGCCCTTTTGGAAATTTTACAGTATCTCTGTCTGTAATACTGCAGACGTCTCTGTGTTAGCAAACAGGTAACAGCAGTGTTTATTAAATCACGTACTTCATAGGCTAATCTGGAGGAAATCAATCACCTAAAGGAAAGCTCAGAGCATTGATTTGAACAGAGTAAGTAATAATGCTGCAGAAGTATATATCAAACCCACATAAAGCAGCAAGACAGAAAAGACTACTGATTTCTTATTTATAGTCTTATTTTTGGATATACAATTCCCATGAGTACAACTCTGAATATACATGGAAAATAAAGACAAGCTTCTGCTCCCTTTTCCTAGGTGAAAAATGGATCAGACTGACTATTGAATTATTAAATGCAAGAATAACTTAGCCAAGAGTAAAGACAACAATTTTCTCATAAAGTGAAATGCTAAAGAAGCATAATTGATTCTATTCCCATATTGAAGTGGTTAAAACACTAATGACAACTTCTCAAATAGCATTTATACATAATAATACACATACAATACACACAATAATTGATGTAACATTTGCACAATTATAATGTTGAAGCAAAGATTTTAGAGTTCAAATGCTAATTCACTCCATAATGATTTTCTTATACATTTTTAACACTTTCACTATACTTAGCAAAGGGAAAGGTGTTCTTCAGTAAGCAAAAATGTATTTGGTCAACTTCCAATTACTTTAGAGATAAATATTAATATAAAACATAACAATAATTGTAGAGTTATACAGTATTCCTTCCCTGTGAGAGTGGTGAGGCCCTGGCACAGGTTGCCCAGAGAAGCTGTGGCTGCCCCATCCCTGGAAGTGTCCAAGGCCAGGTTGGATGGGGTTCGGGGAGCAACCTGGGATAGAGGAAGGTGTCCCTGCCCATGGCAGGGGAGTTGAAACGAGATGATCTTTAAGGTCCCCTCCAACCCATGTAAGCTGCATACTGCAAAATTTTGCATACTGCAAAATAAATCTGAATATTTTGAATAGGTTTATACTAAAGTAACATTTTTTAAAGGTCTTTTACCTTATAGCATAAACATATTTGCAGGAAGGAAATAACTACTGTCCCTGCCTTTATCTCTCTGGCACCATCCAGATCCAAAAAGATAAAAAACCTCACAAACTTCAAAAAATGCTGGTGTTAAAGATGATTCAGTATCACATTACACTTCATAAATGAAGTTGTAGGTTCTTCTCTCTTCCAAAGTTTTACAACCTACTCATTTAGGAGCTATGTATTCTTGCAATTCTACCCAACTTACAAACCCGATTTCACTACAAAAGCCAGTTCTCAGGACATCAGGTGGATCTGCACCACTCTCTTAAGGTCTGTGGCAAAAAAATAATAACTAGTTTAAAAACACACAATATTTTCCTCTATGTAAATTATATATCTCTCCTTTATTTTTTTTTAGCTGCATCACAATGAAAATAAGAAAACGAAATAAAGTGGAGTTGGGGGGATTCATCACAGATTTTTATTTTTTATGTTCACACCTGGTTTTTCTGTGAGTTAAGCTCAGTTTTCAAGGCAACTGCTTACTCAAATATCCAAGCTACCTATTAACAATGCAAAGCATGTCTATTGGTATACAATTTTTTTTTTTTTTAAATATGAACAGTTTAAATCCAGGATAGAAAAAATGTGAAAAGCTGCACACAGTCACTTTTACACAGATTCAGTTTGGCTTTGGGGGCATGCTTTTATTGAACCTGCCTTGCAGGGACATGTCTTTAATGTTATCTGGTTTTACTGAAAAGGCAGGCATGGCAACCCATCCTCCATTCTGTCATAGCAAGGGAAAGATGTATAAAATGAATAAAATGAAAACATATTTAGTGGATACGATGATATGAAAATATTATGCGTGAGAGAGATCAATCTGCTAGAATAAACATCAGCATTCAGTGTGCAGGCAGTTTCTTTAACACAGAAGTTCACATGCTAGTCTTGGTTTTTTGAGTGTTTTTTGACTAGTGAAATTTGAAACTGTTCCGTATCGTGCCTGCGCTATGTAAACCTCAGTGGGTGTAAGTGCTGAGCCTTTAGGACATTTTTAGTTACATTAAGAGTGTTAAAATCTAAACAGACATCTCAGATTTCTTCATATGTCAAGTTACAAACAACATAACTTCAAAAAATCAGGTAAACTGCCATGTTTATCCCTCTGTGAACACAGCACTTCAGTAGTGTCATACTCCAGTTTTACCTGCTGGAATGAATTAGACACAGCTACTTGAAACCTGAGTTGTGCAGCAACAACTCCTTTATATTTCAAGCCCCAAACCTCTGCAACATACTTTTTCTCCCCTCTTCCTTCTATATAATTTTCAGGGGGTTATTATGTAAATTTATTCCATGCATATCAGCAACACTTTACTGAGATCTGTGCACTTCTAGAGAAAACCAGCACACACATGGCAGCTAATCATGTTAGAAAGCAGATAATGTAACAAAGTAATGCAGCAGACCTGTGCAGATTGCCAAATACACTCAACAGCCCTCCCTGCTGCCTACCACAGATTCAA